CGACATAGCCATTACGCTAACTGCTGGTTCCCTGGTGGCTTGCTTTCTCACTTTCCCTCTCTCTCTCTGTCTCCGTCTTTTTATGGTCAGATTTTAAAAATGAATGAGTAGATGTGAGTAGATAAAATGAAAAAAAAAAAAAACATGCACATTCTCTGACCCCACCCCAGGACGGAGGTGTTGAAAACACTGAGACTGGCCACCAGGTGCTCACTAAAATTTGAGCACCTGCAAGGCCTCACATTCTCGTCATCCTCGAATTACAGGAGGTGCTGGGAGGAAGGGGCTCTGAAGCCTCCAAAACACACTAAGGGCGCTCGACTCCTTTGCAAACAGCCCCTGGGGTCTGCTTCTGGGAAGCTCTTCCCACCGTTCCCAGGGCACCTGGTCTCCCGCTTCTCTGTATAATCATCCCAAACACAATGAAGCTGGTCAGAGGTTTTAGCTGTAGGGCACATGTGCTGCCGCCATCTTGCATTTTTCATTTTGTGATTTTTATATTGGTTTTTCCCTTGATTTACAGGAGATTACTTTTTTCAAAGGTTAGATTTAAAAGGGTTTTTCAAATGGAATCTTATTTTCCCATTAACCTACATAACCATTTTATTAGTATTAGTTAAAAGCTCATGTATAGTGAGTAGTGCAACCCTCTTTTCTTTCTTTTAGTTTGCTATAGGGTGCTTGTGCTTGCTGGAGACAGAGAGAGTGAGAGACAAAGAGAGGAAAAATGAGAAATGACCCCCCCAATGGGGATGGCCACATCGCAATCCCTTCTACCCCACTCTCTCAGGATTTGGGGCACCCACACACACATGCCTAGCATGTTTTTCAAGCCACCAGGTCCAGGACTCAAACTACATAATTGGTTATGTGGGATCCAGCTGCCTTAACCTCCAGGCCACAGTCTCTCTGTCAATTAGTTGATGTACTAAGAAAATCTGATATTTAATATAATGTATCGTTTTGGTTTTGGGAGATGAGGGATAAGCGGAAAAATAATTTACAAAATAAGCTGCCCCTGGAACCAGCAGGTGGCGTGGTGGTTAAGGCGCTGGACATTCCCCTATGGCCGACCAGGGTTCAAGTCCTGAATCTGGTGGCTTGCTTTCTCACTTTCTCTCTCTCACACTCTTACCTTCTGTCTCTCTCTGGTCAAATTAAAAAATAAATGAACGAATAAATAATTATTTTTTAAAAAATAAATAAATAACCTGCCCCTTAACCAATTAACTTTGTACCAATTTGACTTGGGTCAGTAAGATGTGCTGCATGAGTGGCATTTTTGTGTTTTGTAATTTTGAATAACTTTAAATATGAGAAACTCACCTCTTTCTTTTAGATCTTCAATATAGGCTTTCATAAATTCTTTATCAAAATGCTGACGATCCTGTTCACTTTCCATCACTTCATCCCCCTCTGGACACTGGGCGTTATCAATGGGATTGTCCATGAGGCTTATGAATCTGTTCAAGACACATGGAAATATTACATTTTCCCTTGTGCATTTTGAACTGCAAAATTCCTTGCAGAAGATCATCTCTGTGGTACTAAACTCAAGTTCTTGCTTAGCCTTTTTTTTATATTTATTTATATTGTTTTTATTTAATTTGACGAGAGAGAGAGAGAGTAAAAGCCACCAGGTCCAAGATTTGAACCGTGGTCAGCCGTGTGGGAGTCTAGCACCTTAACTACCATGCCACCTGCTGGCCCCCTCGCTTATCCTTAAAATCACAGTTTACCCCATACTATTAGCATCATCAGTGGATTTCCATTATCAAATAATCCAACAGGATGATGGAGTCCTTTCCTTTTTTTAATTTTGCTATAGAGCATGTATGCTCGCCAGAGAAAGGGGGGCCACCTGGTGGCATGGTGGTGAAGGCGCTGGACTCCCATCTGGCCAATCGTGGTTTGAGTCCCAGACATGGCAGTTTGCTTTCTCACTTTCTCTCTCTCTCTCTGTCTCGCTCTGGTGAATGTGCATGCCCCATGGCAAATTAAGTAATAATAAAAATAATTGATAAAATTAAATTAATAATTCTAAAAAGAAAAGAGAGAGAGAGGGAAAGTGAGAAAGCACTCCCAGGCCACAATCCTTTCCCTTCCATTCTCCTGGGATTTGGGGCACACACATACACACACACACGGCATATTTGAGCCCTAGACATTGGGTCTGGGACTCGCACTATGCAGTCAGCCATGTGGAATTGAGCACCTTAACCACCATACCACCAGCTGGCCCACTGTATACATTCTTTAAATTTGTAGGGTGTATGGAAACAGCAGATGGTATAATGGTTACGTTGCTAGACTCCCATGCAGTTGACCACAGTTCAAGTCCTGGAACCAACAGCTTAAAATTCACGCTGGGTATATGTGAGTGTGTGCCCAAAATCCCGAGAGGAGAATGAAGGAGAAGGAATTGCATCCTTCCTGGGGGTGGGTAATTTCTTACTTTCTGTTTCTCTGTCTCTCTGTCTCTCTGGTGAGTGCACATACCCTACAGCAAAAGTCTCTCTATAACGACAACAACAAAATTGCAGTGTAATGGCGCTTTTTTTGAAGCAGCAGTTTCTCGCTCTCCCCTTTGTTACTCTCAGGGCCTGGAGCAACCCCTCCGAGAGTCAATCACTTTTTTACTTAATCTACTTAAACTCTCTCTTACCTTAGGACAAATATTTTATTGTTATCCACTCAACGGGAGACACTGTTCCTCTTCAATTTCCCAACCTTCCCACCACTCAGTTTCTGTTACTTGTGCCTTTTGAATACATTATTTTGAAAGTTTTCAAATATTCAGGAAAGTAGGGGGGGAAAAGTTACAGTGAAACTTACAGCAGAACTCAAACCACTGTTGGCCGCGGGGATCCAGAGCCTGAACCGCCATGCCACCCGCTGGGCCTGTGGACCATCTGTTCGTGGTATTAGCTACGCATGGCATGCAGAGCTATGTGCTACAGAGCTTCCTCTTTCTTCCTTGGGAACTGTTTTTTAAAGATTTATTTTATTTTATTTATTTAATTTTTTAAATTTGCTATAGGGTACACACACCAGAGAGAGAGAGAATGAGAAAGCAAGCTGTCAGGTCCGGGATTCAAACTAGTCAGCCCCGTGGTAGTTCAGCGCCTTAACCACAGTGCCACCTTCTGGCCCCTCCTTTGAATCTTATTTTAATCAGTGAACCACAACACATTATTCCTACTTTACATATACTTTTGGATTTCTATGTCTATTTTTAATTATTTATCTAAATAGAAAGTTCCTATTTTCAATTTGTTAGTGAAACCATAGCACAAGTCATTTGTGGAGGAAAAAAAACAAATGGCTCTCACTGCCCCTCGTGTGTCCCTCTGCACCTCCGACCAGCAAGTAGCATTTGCCCAGAAATTCTCTAGCTCGCCCTCTTGTGCCATTTGCCAGAAACTTCGAAATCTTGCAGAACGTTTTCAGAACTTCTGGGATCAGGCTCTCGGAGCATGAGGAGCATCCGTCCCGGTTCCTGTGAGGGCCGCCCAGGCTGGGATGCGCCTCGCTCCTCCCCTGTGAGGGTCGGGTCTACTCACTTTACAGGTGTGGACGAGTCGCAGAGAGCCGTTGGGAGCTCCACCAGGTGGTCCCCACTGACGACTAACAAGGTGAGCTTCTTCAGATTAAGCAAGGCGTAGGGAAGGTAGGTCAGCTTGTTCTTATACAAGAGGAAGCTCTGCAATTCTTCCAGCCTACAAAGCAGTAAAGGATTAGAACGGAGGACTTAGCTTCACAGCCAAGAAAACCAACGGGGATTGAGTTTGTCACGTGGGGTGACCTTCACGGGAACCAACTTACTCTTAAAGTTTAATAAATAAAGTCATGCCAGATGACACGTCTGTTTGTTTGTTTAGTTTGTTTAGTGTTCCTGACTGAGCACCAGGTAACGACACAGCCTAGTGGCAGCATAAGCAAACTGCACAATACACAGCAGACACGGTGGGGCCTCAGACATCACTGCATCCTTTCTTCTAAGTGTCTGTCACATCTATTGGGTCACTGGACAAGTTTCTTCTTGTTAAAGAACTACTTACTTCATTGTATTTATTATCATCATTTCTTTTTTAATTTGACCAGAGAGAGAGAGAGGAAGGAAAGTGAGAAAACAAGCTGCCAGGTCCAGGACTTGAACCACAATCAGCCATGTGGGAGTACAGCGTCTTAACCACCATGCCACCTCCTGGCCCCGACATCATGACAATTCTTTTCCGGGTACCCAATACAGGGCTCCACAGGGCCCAGGAAAGAAATCACTGAGAATGGACAGATCTGGGCGGCTCACTTCCTTCTGTGCACCTTAGACACACTTATTCTTCTCCCATATTTTCTAACTTTAAATAGGAAGAAAACTTCAGAGTGAAAAAGAAACAAGCAAAATATGTTCCAAATACGTCTTAGTCTCTCTTCCTTTTTTTGGTAGATTTTGCCATAGGGCACATGTGCTCACCAGAGAGAGAATGAGAGGGAAAGTGAGAAGTCACTCCAGGGGGGATGGCCACATCACAACCTTTTCTCTTCCATTCTCTTCCTGGGATTCTGGGCACACACACATATGCACCCAGCATAATTTTCAAGTCGCCAGGTTCAGGCCTCAGACTGCGGTCAGCCATGAGAGATTCCAGCACCTTAGCCACTATGCCACCTGCTGGCCCCATTTTCCATTTCAGTCAGCAACTCCTCTCCCAAGATTTTTCATACATTCATTTACAAAATCTTAGCTAATCCCACAAATACTTCATAAAGTTCCCCTAGTGAGTCAAACTAAAACAATTCCCACTGACACCAGCTGATGGCATAATGGTTTCATCACCGGACTCCCACATGGCCAATTGAGGTTTGAGTCCCAGATCTGGAAGTTTGAAACTCACACTGGGTGCACATGCGTGCATGCCAAAAATCCTGAGGGGAGGATGGAGGAGAAGGGATTGCAGCATGGCCATCCCCCCAAGGGGTGATTTCTCACTTTCTATTTGTCTCTCTGGGGAGCACATACATCCTATAGCAAAATCTCTGTAAAAAAATAAATTAAATAAATAAATAAATAAAAAATAAAAATCCCCACTTAGTCTCCTGAACCCAGAAAGCATCAGTACATTGCATGTGCCAAGAGGGCAAGACAGCAGGCAAGATGGCGGTCAAGACAGTGGGCAAGATGGCAAGATGGCAGGCAAGATGGCGGGCAGGCCTAAGCCACTCTTGGCCTCTGTGTCGTAGCAGCTCATTGATAAAATTTCCTTTATAAAGAAAATTGCAGATTCCAGGGGACAGAGATTGCATTTCACTCATCACTTTAAAGCCATCCCACTGTCCAGGCCTGCCAGACAGGATCCTGACGATGTCATAAATGGATGAATAAATGACTCTCACATGGTTCAGTGCAATAATTATTTTTAAAACAATAAATAGCTATAAGAATATAATTTGAGGTGCCAGCAGGTAGTGTGGTGATGAAGGTGCTGGACTTCCACACAGCCAACCATGGTTCGAGCCCTGGGCCTGGCAGCTTGCTTTCTCACCTTCCCCCCAACTCTCTCTGATGAGTGCATGTGCCTATAACAAACTACAAAATAACAACAACAACAACAATAATAATAAACAAAATTAAATAAATAATTCTTTAAAGAAGAATTGTAAAGTCTTGCCAAGCATATTAATTTTGTTTGAAAGATGAAATACAATAAATCAAAAAATTAAACCGATAAAACTTGTCCTCACGGACATCTCCAACATTAAGCAGTGTTTTCTGCTCCATAGATAATAAATTCACTGCTCTACTTCTGTGGAGTAAAGGAAGTGAACGGATCTGTGGAAGACTAGAGCAAACTGCAAGTCAGCAAGACCACGAAGAGGTGCTCACATACACAAAGACCCTGTGCCGGCGCGATGCCAATTGGAAATGGTCTTATTCTATAATCTCCTGGGAAACAATAAACTCTGAAGAATCAGCCGGTTTCAAAGAGCACTCATGTGTTACGCATGCTCCACGTTAACAGTGTTTAAGGGTTAGTCACTGGTTCGTGTACCTCACCTGCAGGGTGCAGGTAGCTACCTGTCTATGTCTTGTGGCAGGTCATTGAGGTTATTGTTGCTGACATCTAACCACTGCAGGCTAGACATCCGCAGGACACAGATCGGGACGCTGCAGAACTTGTTAGCTGAGATATCGACAAATGTGACTTGCTTCAAATTACTTAACTAGAAAAGAATAGCAGAATATTCTAATTACATTCTCGAAAGATTTCATTTTATTTCCTATTGTTATTATTTATAAAATTCGCTATAGGGCATGTGCACTCACCAGAGAGAGACAGAGAGAAAGAGAGAGAGTGAAAGAGAAAGAGAGAAAGCAAGACACCAGATCTGGGACCTGAACCTTAATGAGCCATGTGGGAGTCCAGCACCCTAACTACCACGCCACCTGCCGGCCCCTGGATTTCAACTCTTAAACGTTCTTCCCCACATTATAAACCATTCCGTGTCATACAGCAAATAAAAGTAAATCACAGTACAGAAATGTTTATGCCTTACTTCAAAGGGGAGCTCAGTTATTTCTAGATTTCCAGAACAATCCAGTCTCTCTAGATTTTCACAGTCTCCCAGTTCTGGAGGGATGCTCTTCAGATGGTTGAAACTCACATTGAGTTCTTTCAGATTCTTTAAACGGCCTGTCAGCAGAAAGAGTTAACATCCATTGAATAGGTCAATTAAGATCAGAAGACAAAACTAAGAGGTAAAACAGTTGTATATATAATGACAGGCGGGACCAGCAGTTAGCGTAATGGCTACGTCACTGGACTCCCACATAGTCGAACCGCGGTGTGAGTCCCGGACCCGGTGGCTTAAACTCATGCCAGGCACGTGTGCGTGCGTGCCCAAGATCCTGAGAGGAGAATGGAGAAGGGATTGTGGCATGGCCATCCTCCCTAGGGGGGGATTTCTCGCTTTCTATTGCTCTGTCTCTCTCTGTCTTTCTGGCGAACGCACACGCCCTATAGCAAAAACCTCTCCAAAAAAAGAGAACAAATAATAATAATAATGACAGGAAGGCCCAAGACATGTTCTGTACCTGTGTGTAAGCATTCTTTAGTCTGCTTTTATCTTCAGCATGTTGGTCCTTGATTATAGTGCTATTTGGGGGCATAATTTCTTTTTTAATTAAAAGAAATTTATTTAACTTTATTTATTTATTCTAATTTGACCAGAGAGGAAAAAGAGAGAGAGAGGAAAAGCAAGAAAGCCACCAAGTCTGGGACTCAAACCACGGTCGGCCATGTGAGAGTCCAGCACCCTTAACCACCACGCCACCTGCCAGCCCCTTTTGCGTATTTTCTAATCATTTAATCCTTTGTGAAACTATAGGCAAAGTGAGGGCAGGGGATTGGTCCCTTGTGTAGCTTCGTTCAGGCCGAGCACCCACAGAGTGCAAAGCCCTTTGAAATCATAGAATGAGTAACAGCCGATGTTTCTGAAGAATGGAAGCACATGTTCTAGCAAACACCGTGGCCAGCCAGGGCCTCCTGTCGGACATTACGGAGGAACTAGTGAGTTCTGAAATACGCACAGGCCTGACAGGTGACGCACACTGGCAGAGGGTTTGGACGGGATGTGGCCGACAGAGAGGAGCTACCTCACCAGTGATCTCTGGCTTCGCGTTTGCACTGATTTAATCAGAGTGCAGCATGCTTCCGAAACAACATGCTGTCTCTTTCACAGCAGAATCTGAACACACGAAGAGTAACAGCCGAGGGGCCAGCCAGTTGGCATGGTGGTTAAGGCAGCTGCGTCCCACACAGCGACTGTGCCGTTCAAGTCCAGACCCAGCAGCTTGAAAAACATGCCAGGCACATGTGCAAGCATGCCCAGAATCCCCGGAAGAGAATGGAGGAGAAGGGATTGCAGCACAACCATATGACCACGGTTCAAGTCCTGGACCCAGTGGCTTGAAACTTGCACTGGTGTATATGTGTGCATGTGTACCCAAGACCCTGAAAGGAGAATGGAGGAGAAGGGACTGTGGCTTGGCCATTCCACACCCCCCCCAGGGGGGGTGATTTCTTGCTTTCTCTTTGTCTCGCTGGTGAGTACACCCGCCCTATAGCAAAAATATCTCTCAAAAAAAGCAGGAGCGACTTCATCTTAAAGAAGCACCTCCATTATAAACTCCTAGATTCCTGTGACTAAAAACTTGACTTCTCCTCTGTGCCTAAGAGTAAACAGTAATTAACATTCCTATGGTCTTTATGTTTCTTAGTAATATGACCATCCCCCGGGGAGGCGATTTCTCATTTTCCTTCTCTGTCTCTTTCAGGCAAACACATGCACCCTATCAAAAAAGAGAGAAAGAGAGAAAGAAAGAGAGAGAGAGAAAGGAAGGCAGTCAATAATTGGATTTATTAGAAAATACAATATCTCTAATCCTGATTTTAAGTGAGTGAATGAATAACCAGTTCCAAACCACGGACAAGTGTGACAATATTACAATACTGTGACAGTATGTCTAATATTATAAAAATCATGCAGGAGGTATGTGTGCATGCCTAAAATCCCCAGATGCCTTGCCCTGAGCTATGAAGACCATTAAAATTCTATTATGTTCAGGTGGAGACAGAACCTACTCTAAAAAGGATTAACCTGCTTTTCCTGCTTCAGTACTGCGCTTTTGCTTTACATTGTTAAAACCCTACCCCTCGCCCTTCTCCCCATCTGAGCCCACTACACCTTACCCTCATAAATTTGCTTGGGATGGTGCATGGTACCTGCTCAACAGAGCCACCCAGGTGCTGCCTGCTCACCACACACCGAGCCCAAGACGCCTGCTAAGGAACGTACCGATTTCGGCCGGAAGGTGTGAGATTTGGTTTTTTGGCAGATCCAGAACCCTCATTGCTTGAAACAGCTCGATATATGTTGGAATGATTTGAATCAAGGTATTGTTTATGTGCCATTCTTTCAGGTGTGTCTGCTCCTTCAAGGAATCCGGGAGCTCCTAAAACAGAAGGAATGACACCACTCAGAGCTGGTGCCTTCAGGAGCACAAAATCAGGTGAAACCAAGTGATTTCAAAAACAAGATGCAACAGGGTGTGCACGGGAACGTGAGGCTCAACTGCCAGCACTTCGGTTACTCTGCAAAGGGACCGGGGACACTCCCGTTGTCTTAGTCTGGGTTTCTGTTACTGTCACTGAATTCCAGACTGGATAATTTATATAAAGAGTAAAGGTATGGGACCAGCAGGTGGTATGGTGGTTAAGGTGCTGGACTCACACAGGGCTGACCGCAGTTCAAGCCCTGGACCCAGTAGCTTGAAAATCACCCAAGCACATGTGCATGTGTGCATGTCCAAAATCCCCAGAGGAGACTAGAGGAGAAGGGATTATAGTGTGGCCATCCCCCCTCCCCAGGGTGATTTCTCACTTTCTGTCTCTCTGTCTCTCCAGCTATAGCAAAAATCTCTCTCTAAAAAAAAAAGCCGGAACATTGACTCACCGTCCAGTGCTGCCCCGAAAGCTCAAACACAAAAGGGTTGCTCCGTCTGCCGCCATCCTTGCAGGGTGACCCCTGCCTCACCAGAGCATTCCTTTCGATCTTTTCCAGAAGCCGCACACTGGTGTCGATGAAGCCATTCTTACAGTACGCAGCCTGGGGGATGCCTTTCCTGCGGCACTCGGCCACGAAGTTCCACTCCTCCTTTATCCTGAAACGGCAGCAGGGGCCACGGTCACTCTCCTGGGGAGCATGTCACCTGCCTGGAGTGGTGGGTTGGGCGGCCCGGGTGAGGAGCCCAGCTTCTGACCACCGGAGACAGCTTTCCCACCTGGGACAGACACCTTTCCCTCCCTGCTGTGGGCGCGCAGGGGAGATCATCAACCCTTCTGTGAATTACTAGTAACTTTGGCTTAAAAAGTAAAGAGGGGCCAGCAGGTGGCATGGTGGTTAAGGGAGCTGGACTCCCACATGGCCAACCACTGTTCGAGTCCTAGACTGGGCAGCTTGCTTTCTCCTCTCTCTTTCTCTCTCTCTCATTCTGTTCCCCTCTGGTCAAATTTAAATAAATTAAGTTAAATAAAATAATTCTTAAAAAAAAAAAAAGTAAATGAGGTGAGTTCGATGGAATTTCTGGGTGAAATTTCTACCCAAATTCCCTATACAATTGATTAACTGCAGTTATTTTTGAAATTGTACTATGCTGGGAGGCTGGCAGGTGGCATGGTGGCTAAGGCACTGGATCCTCATGTGGCCAACCACGGTTTGTGTACCAAATCTGGTCACTTGCTTTCTCACTTTCCCTCTTTTTCCCTCCGTCTGTCTCTCTTTGGCTGAATTTTTTAAATAATAATAAATAAATAAAATTAAACAAATATTTTTTTAAAAAAAGGAAATTCTATGGTGCCAATCCAATCAGTTTTTAAACCATTATTTTATTTTTATTTTATTCAATATTATTTTTAAAATTTGACCAGAGAGAAAGAGGGAAAGAAAGCCTCCAGGTCAGGGACTCAAACCAGGGTCACCCATGTGTGATTCCAGTGCTTTAACCACTACACCACCTGCTGCCTCCCCAAAGGGTTGTTTGCTTGTTTGTTTTTTAAAAACATTCCAGACACATGTGCATGCATTCTCAAAATCTGGCGGCTTTCTTTCTCACTTTCCTTTTTCTCTCTCTCTCTCACTCTGTCCCCCTCTGGTCAAATTTAAATAAGTAAATAGAGTTGAATAAAATAATTAAAAAAAAAAAGAATAGGTATGCGTTCAATCTGAAAAGCTCAGCAAAATGGAGAATAAAAATACATTCCTACTATACATTTTGTAGTTTTGTTTGTGGAATTAAATTTTCCGGAGAGAGACAGAGGGGAGAAAGCACCCCATGGGCACGGTCACACTGCAGTCCCTTCTCCTCCATGTCTCCCCCCTCCTGGGATTCTGGGCATGCATGCACATCCAGCATGTCTGTCAGCTGCTGGGACAGGGACTCCAACCACATAATCAGACATGTGGAGTCCCCCCTTTTTATTATTTATTTTATTTTATTTATTATTAAGTTTGCTATAGGGCAGGTGCACTTGCCAGAGAGGGAGTGAGAGAGAGAAAATGACAAAGCAAGCCACCAGGTCTGGGACTCAAACCGTGGTCGGCCATGTGGGAGTCCAGCTCCTTAACCACCATACCACCTGCTGGCCCTGGCCCTGGCCCCTTATTTTTAAAGCAGGCAAGTATCCCACCATCTGCCAAGATGACTCAGGGTCAGGGACTTCCTTTGCGAGCAGGTCACCAGTCAGAAGCCCATGGTGCCTTTCCTGAGCAAACAGCACCTCTCACGCAGCATCCGCGAGCTCCAGTGTGTTTCTTCCTGGGGATTACAGACCTCTGCCAACACGCCTGCAGGGAAAACCCTTGCGGCTTCTCACACTAACCCAGTCCGTGCTCATCATCACGTGGCTCTCTGAAGCCGCAGCTTGGCTCTCCTATCCGTGATAGCTCTCCTCTCCTCGGAGTCCATGAGTTCAAACTACGCTATTTCAATCCGAGTAAACATGGCGTCAACGCGACGAGTTTTATCTTGAAGCCAGTTCAGTGAGTTACAGGGCGAGGTGCAGGGCGCCCTGCCCTGGGGCAGCCTCCAGTAGCTGACCTCCAGTAGCTGGAGATCACCGGGCAGCACGGGGAGGGAGACCAGGGGAAGCTGCCAAGCGTTTTGCTTCGGCGTCCACAGCGGAGGGATTTATCCCATCACCTCTGTCCTCTCTGTGCCTAGCCTGGTGCCTGGGGCGTATGCAGGTCCTTGTTACTAGGCATGGTACTGCCATAGAAATCTAATGCTGAGGCTGGCCCCATGGCCTAGTGGATAAGGGAACTGGATCCCACACGACTGACCAGAGTTCAAATCCTAGCCCTGGCAGCTTGAAAAATACACCAAGCATGCATTTCATGTCCCAAATCCCAATGGGATGGACAAAAACAGGAGGGGTTGCAGCCCCATGCCCCGGCGGGCAGGGAGATGCTTTCTCATCTGTCTCTCTCTGGTGTGAGGGTTCTGAAGTCCCACAGGGAAAGTGTCCCCAACACTGAGAAATCCCAGTGGAAAAGCATCATCTTCCACGATCCACCTACTACCTGCCCGAATGTACTCCCTGAACAAGCTACAGCCTGGGGACGAGACCACGTACTTTTCCAACGCGCTTCTCTCGAGCCTCTCTGCCTCCTTCTTCTGCCAAGCTTTGTGCTTCTTGACGCGGGTTTCCCACAAGGATCTGACGACAGAAATGTCAAACACGACCACTTTATGTCCCATTTTGGAAGCATGAAGTTACCTGTTTAAAAAAATATATGTGTGTCAGCTTCATACACGGAAGAAGAGTTTTAGCACGAACTTCGTCATATGACTGAACGACCTGTCCGTAGCAATGAGCAAATACCTCGTTGCTTCTAGGACGGTGTGTGAGCGTCCTCATAGTCTGACAGCGCTGTGTAAGGCTCTCTGCCAGCGTCATCTCTAGAGCATCGCATTTGTCTCCCCACCCCCAGGACCCCGGTATTCCTCAAGCCTCGTGGGTCCACACCCTATTAAATTTCCTCGCGTATTAGCTAACCTTCCTGGGAGGTTGTAACGCACTCGCAGTAAGGTGTACAAATTGATCGCAGTGCGCACACACACACTCGCCCTTGCCCTCTCTCAAGTAGAGTAGCAGAATATAACGCCTTAGTTATATAAAAACTGCAGTAAGACCCAGTAGGTGTTTGAGGTGACTGATCCACATGGCCAACCGCATGGTTTAAGTCCAGACCCAGTGAGGTGAAAAACATGCCAGCTCATGTACACGTGCGCTCCAAATCCCAAGAGTAGAATGGAAGAAGAGGGATTTGGTAAAATGGACCAGCAGTTGACGTAATGGCTATGTCGCTGGGCTCCCATGTGGTCTACCACGGATTGAGTCGGTAGACTCAGACCCGGTGGCTTAAACTCACGCGGGGCGCATGTGTATACGTGCCCAAGATCCCGAGAGGAGACTAGAGGAGAAGGGATTGTGGTGTGGCCATTCCCCCCGGGGGCGATTTCTTGCTTTCTATCTGTCTCTCTGTCTTTCTGGCAAGCGTACGTACCCTATAGCAAAAACCTCTCAAAAACAAAAAGAAAAAAGAACCTACCATGTGTCACTCAGATTTAGCCAAATGTACGAACGACATGGAGCACGGTCTGGTCAACTACGAACCTCGAGGTCACACTGGGTTATTATTCAAAGAGTGGACTGCAGGTAACGTCTGAAGAGACATACGTTGTAAAAAATTCTCGCTTGGGAAGCAGCAGTTAGTGTAATGGCTATGTCGCTGGACTCCCACGTAGTCGACCGCGGTTCGCGTCCCAGACCCGGTGGCTTAAAACTCACGCCGGGCGCGTGTGCGTGCGTGCCCAAGATCCCGAGAGGAGAATAGAGGAGAAGGGATTGCGGCGTGACCATCCTCTCTGGGGGGTGATTTCTCGCTTTCTGTCTCTACATCTCTCTCTGTCTGTCTGGCAAGTGCACGTGCCCTACAGTGAAAACCTCTCAAAAAAAAAAAAAAAATTCTCGCTTAAAAGACAAACATTGAATACAAATGCAGTAAGTCTTTTTTTTTTTTTGGAGAGGTTTTCGCTATAGGGCACGTGCGCTCGCCAGACAGACAGAGAGAGACAGAGAGACAGAAAGCAAGAAATCACCCCCCGGGGGGATGGTCACGCCACAATCCCTTTTCCTCCATTCTCCTCTCGGGATCTTGGGCACACACACACATGTGCCCGGCGTGAGTTTTAAGCCACCGGGTCCAGGATGCGAACCACAGTCGACTATGTGGGAGTCCAGCGACATAGCCGTTAAGCTAACTGCTGGTTCCCAAATGCAGTAAGTCTTAACAGTACCTACTTACACATAAGTTAAAATCGGAATGGAGACGCAACTTTTAGGAGAACCAATAGGTTCTGGTCTAGCCACTTAACAGAGCAGGATCTTAAGAAAGCGACCCAATTCAGGACGAAGTGAAAATTAATACTATCTTAGAGCCCATCGAAGAAGACTCTTCAGAAATCTTTTCACACCAACTAGAAGCTGGGGAAACACAATTTGAGAAGTGAAATGATACTGCTCCACACACATATGAAGACCCGGGTCCCTGGCAGCCAGCCCTCATCAAGCCTCAGTTCCTAATGACTGAAGTTAGAAGCTCCTTGCCCTGAAGATCCCTCTGCATCTCTTATTCCACAATATGCGAGCTCGGCAGAGGCACAGAGCCCACGATCTGCCACCCAGGTCACAGGATAAAGCCACAATCTGTCTGTGTGTGGCACCAACAGGCTAACACCAAGGTACGCACAAGACTGACTTTAAAGTGATGGCGGAGTATTCCAACTCACTAAAGGAAAGGATACCAAGGTACGCACAAGACTGACTTTAAAGTCACTAAAGAAAAGGAAGCTTAGAGATGACGTGCTTCGTCTACCAAAGTCTAAACTGTCACTTACACTTTAAATGGGCTCCCATTAGTGGGAAACAGAATACTCTGTATTTGGTGTGGAAAACGAGTCAATATAAGGTTTATTTGTGTGGAAAGTGCCAGTTTAACTAGTTAAGTAAACCAGTAACTGCTATGAGGCAGTGAGGTGGACATCTTTCCTTTTTTTAAATTTTATTTATTTGTTTCTTTATTTTAATTTGACTAAAGAGGGACAGAGAGAGAGAGAGAGAGAGAAAGCAAGCTGCCAGGTCCAGGACTCGAACCACAGTCAACCATGCAGGAGTCTGGCGCTCTTAACCACTACGCCACCTGCTGGCCCCCAGAGGCTGACATCGGTAAACTGCCTGTGATAGCTAACAATGTTCTATCCTACTGGGTCCAGCTCACTGAAGGGTCACCCCTCTTTAAAGCCAAGATTGCCACTGTCACTGGTACAGTGGAGTCAGCCAGCCTCCTTGCAAAAACCAGAAGTGGACAAGGTCTTTCATAAAACTCTGAGTGGCTCTTGTCTTAAATAACCTTCTTCCTGGGTACCAGCAGGAGGCGTGGTGATTAAGGTGCTGGACATTCCCATATGGCTGACCATGGTTCAAGTCCTGGAGCTGGAGGCTTGCTTTCTCACTTTCTCTCTCTCTCTCTCTCTCTGTGTGTGTGTGTGTGTGTGTGTGTCTGGTCAAATTAAAATAAAATGAATGAGTAAAATTAAATAAATAATTTTTTTTTAAATATCTTTCTTCCAAGGAGATACCACCAGTATAACTAAGAGTTGAAAAGGTGCCGTTAATGAACCTTACGGACAATTACGATGTAGCTGATTCTTGTTCGTTTTGATGAGAAGGAAAAAAGATCAGCAAAATAAGAGCACCGCCAGTTCCCTCGGAAGTCAGCACCAGCGTAAAAGAATTCGCGGTCGGATTGACCTCCCTCTTACCCTCTGACACTCAGCTACTCCCTTCTCCGAGAAGTTAGTCTTTCCTTCCAGTGAAATGTTCTCTATAAAGTGAAACGGGTTTTCTACTCTGAAAACCGTGCTAAATCCCAGTTCCAGCCTAAGTCTGTCGGCCTCGTTCACAGACTGTCCTGCTGAGCTCCCCAGGAAGGCCTCTGTGAGGAGCTCCCGCCTGACCCTGACAGCACGGATGACCTCCCTCACTCCCTGCTCCGAGGTGGTTTGTCACACTCATCCTAAAAAGGCAGGCCAGCCTCCAAATTTACCCCATTCGAATCTGCCCACCTCGAAGGCTCCATGGTTATCTGGAGCCACTCTTTTTTTTTTTTTTTTTTTTTTTAGATTTTTGCCCTAGGGCACGTGAGCTCACAGGGAGGGACAGAGAAAGAAGGAAAGGGAGATATCACCCCCCATGGGGAAGGGCAATCCCTTCTCTGCCATTCTCCCCTCGGGATTTTGGGCACGCATGCACACACACCTGGTGTGTTTTCATGCCGCCAGGCCTGGGACTTGAGCCACAAGGTCAGATCCAGCATCTTAACTTCCACACCACCTGCTGGCCCCAGGAGGTCACTCTTATGCGTTCTGTCTCATCGTTCTGCCCAGCCACTGTGCAGACGTGCACACACACACGCACTCACACGCACTCACATATCCAGCTGCCCCCCGGGGCTCTCAGGGGTGTGCTCCGCACCACCTAGAGCCACGTCTTGCCTCCGTCGTGCGAGAGCCTCCTAACTGGGCTCCCGGCTGCCCACCCACACGCATCCAGTCCACTTTCCACTCATTAGTGACAGTCATTCTTCAAACAGAATTAGATCATGCTGTCACGGGGTTCAGATTGTCCCAGGCTTCCTTTGGACGTGAGAGTGAGATCCCAGCTCTTAACGGGGGAAGATCCTGGCACAACCTGCCCTCAGCCAGCTGCTCCTGGGGCCTAGAACTTTCTCCCCATTCGCAGGGCTTCCTATGCCACCCGAATTCGGTTTCGTACTTCGCCTCAGTCCGGCCTCCTGGGCCTCCTCACCTAGAGGCAGCCCTTCTGGCTTAGCTCGCTCTGTTGCGTGTTTCCTTCGCAGAACTCAGTGAAGCTAAAGGACCGGACTGCATGCCAATTCGCTTGTAGGAGCCGTGGCTTCCCGACAGGCACAGCCACTGGAAGTTCCCCAACTCGGACTTGGGGCCGGGCCCCCATTGGGGCCAGGTGGGAATTAGAGGCACCTCTGGTCACCTCGTCCAGGCCCCCGCAGAGGTGTGCCTGACTGTCTGAAGCGGGCAGCTCCTGCTTCTGAACCACAACCCAGAAACCGAAGCGTGTGCTGGGCCGGCTCACGGCTGTGTGTTTCTGTCCTTGGGGAACCCCAAATAACGGCATTTATGGGCACTCACTCCAGAACAGCAACGAGGATGAGGTCCCATCCATGCCCCCAGGTCTCCAGGCTGGGAGGAGAATAGATGCGTGAAAGAACAGACGCTTTTCAGCCCAGCGTGCGAATCAGGCCCCGGGGGGCGGGGCGGAGCATGCAAATTAGGCCCGGGGCGCGGGGCGGAGCATGCGGCTCCGCCCCCCCCGTGGGCGGGGCGGAGCATGCAGATTAGGCACGGGGGCGGGGCGGAGCACGCGGATCAGGCCCCAGGGGCGGGGCAGAGCATGCAGATTAGGCCCAGGGACAGTCCCAAGGCGAGGATGGGGTCAGAGCAGAGAAGCTGAACAACTTTGCAGCCGCCTCCCCAGCCCAGTTACGTCAGAACTGCTCTAAAGAACCATCCGCTCTCCCGAGCCAGCGGGCATGACTGGAAAAACACGTCCCCTGGTACCAGAGCCCTAGTCTGCACGCCGAAATCACATGCCAGGGGAAAGGGGACTTCTGGTCACCTAGTGCTCGCCCTCCTTGCCAAATGGCAGTCTGAGCTGGGGAGCGAGAGGCGAGGAGTACAGAGCCGACACCTCAGCGCATCGAGGGGAGGATGTGGGGGAGTCTGGAGGACACCCAGCAAAGGCCACCGGACTAGGCCCAGCATCTGGGAGGGACCGGAGCACAGGAAAGAGGTCGGGGTAGGGAAGAGCTGGTGCCAGGGGCCACCTAAGCCAGCCCTGGGGAGCGAAGCCTGGCCCCTCCTCCGCACGCCCCGGGCCCCGGGCCCCAGGCCCTCCTTCCTTTGGCCCCAGCTCCTGGCCTTCCCAGCATCCTGCCCCCGGGCCTCTGTGTGAGGAAGACCCGTCATCAGCCTGGCTGGACCCAAGAGAATGACTGTAGCCACCGGGAACTCCTGGAACGCCACAGTCCCTGGGCCACACTTACCGCAGCCGAGGAGCTGGCAGCTCCCAAGACCTGCCCTACACACACACACACACACACACACACACACACACACACACGACCCCCCCCCCCGACACACACACACACACGGCCGCCCTCCCGGACCCAGGGTTAGGGAGCAGGCTGAGTTCCCGATGGAAACAGTGGGGTCTAGGGAGCCACGTCTCCCGGCTAGGTCCACTACTTCAGCCGAATTCTGAATTCAATTAGGTTTCCTTCCACGGGATCAGAACTTCTCTGGGGGTCCTGCCCTGCACGAACGCTCCGGCCAGCCCCCGGCACCTAGAGACTCGTCACCAATTACAATCAGAGGAAAGCACGAGGTGGCTGGGCGGGAGAGCAGAGGGTCTCGGGGAGGAGGACGGGGAACACCCGCCCCTGGGCCGAGCCGAGGACAGACCAGCCTCCTTGGGTCTCCAGCCTGGGTCCACCCTCCCCACCCCCACGCCAGGGGGCGGGGCCTGGGCTCCAGGAGGAAGCCTTCCCGGCCCGAAGGGGACACAAACAACGTTGATTTATCTCCCCGGACAGCACTTTGGACCAGGAGGATACCGGCCCTGCCACGGGCACCAGGCGGTGCCCAGAGGAACCCACGGACCAGGAGCAGGGCTGGGGTCCCTTCTCCCAGCCA